CCTCCCCTTCCCGTCCCCGGCCCCGTCCCCGCCCTAACGCGGCCTCTCTCCTCCGCTCCCCGCAGTCTCCCTGACGCGGACGCCCAGGAAGGGTTTGGAGGCCAAGCAGGCGCTGATCACTGAGGTAAGTGCGGCCCGGCCCGGCGCGGTGCCCCCCTCGCCGGTGCCCGGCTACCGGCTAACCGCTGCCTCGCAGCTGCGGAGATGCGTGGACACCTACAAGTACATTTTCGTCTTCTCCGTCGCCAACATGAGGAACAACAAGCTGAAGGACGTCCGGAACGCCTGGAAGCACAGCAGGTGAGCCGGGGCGGCGAGGGGGCCGCTGCCCGAGGGGGCGAGCGCGGCCTGGGCGCTGACAGCCGCCGCCGCCGCCTCCCCTTCCTCCAGGATCTTCTTCGGGAAGAACAAAGTCATGATGGTGGCGCTGGGACGGGAGCCGAGCAGTGAGTACAAGGAGAATCTGCACAAGGTAAGGGCTGGGTTGGTTTGTTTTTCCTTTCTGTGCGTCCCAAAGCTTCGCCTCGCCCGCGGAATGAACGCCAAGGGACGATAGAGCCTCCTCGCGTCGCCCTTCTGCGGGTGGTTCGGTTGAATCCGTCCACGTTGCGACACAAAAACTCTGCTGTTAGCGGAGCTTTCAGAGCTGTACAGGACTGAACCCTGGAAGAGACGTCCCTGGGCGCTGCCCCAGGCCCACGGACGGCTCCTTTCTTTCAGGTCAGCAAACACCTGAGAGGGGAAGTCGGTCTCCTCTTCACGAACCGCACCAGGGACGAGGTGGACGAGTGAGTACGCGCGCGTCGCGGCTTTGAAATGCCGAGCAGCCTTTTTCTTTCCGCTTAACCGCTTGCCGACGTTTCCCTTAAAGCAGCGATCGCGCGAGGCTTTTCAGCTCGCCTTTCTCTGCCACCCCCCCAACGGCGGGGAGGGAGTTAGGGCAGGCTACGCCGCCATCCCCGCCTCCGCCCGAGGGAGGTTCTCTCCGCAGCTCACGCTCTCCTTACCCGTCTCAGGTGGTTCTCTAAATTCAGAGAGGTGGACTTTGCCCGCGCAGGGAACAAGGCAACGTACACGGTGAGCCTGGACACGGGGCCCCTGGAGCAGTTCCCCCACTCCATGGAGCCGCAGTTACGGCAGCTGGGATTGCCGACGGCGTTAAAGAAAGGTATGCGAAGCGGCCGAGAAGGTCAGCTTCATTTTTCATCTGCGCAGATAAGATCTTTTTAAGGAGAATGTTAAATAATCGAGTAGAATTTAGTTTTGGGGAAGACCTGACAGCCGACTTTCTCCTTGTTTGGCTGGCGCTAGAACTCCTTCTGTTCTTCTTGCGCCGTTCTTCCCAAACTGATGTCAAAGGAGAAGGGAAACAACCAACTTTCTACCAGATACCATCCTTTTTCAGTGGAAACGACTAGGCCTGGCCTAACCCAGCACGCTGGCATCCCATTCAGAAACCAGATGTGGGGTTTGGTGGTTTTTTAGAGTTGATCTCATCCAGCTTCTCGGGGCGCGCTAACATTTGCGCGGAAAGGCACAAGCTACAGAGGGCGGTGTTTGAGAAAGCCTTAGCTCTGCGCCCCCCGTTTCGGTGGGTATATCCAGGATTCGTGAGCCTGTTTCAAGAGCTTTTGTTCCTGCAGGAGTGGTGACGCTACTTTCCGATTATGAAGTCTGCAAAGAAGGGGACGTTCTCACCCCCGAACAAGCCCGCGTCCTGGTGAGTAACGTTGTGACGCAGCGTCTGTGCGAACCCCCGCTTCAAAACAATCCACTGTTCGGTGTAATTCCGCTGGAGGGTGCGAGTTCTCGGATGAAGGCGAGCAGTACTCCTGGGTATCGGTCAGCAAACATCCCTACGCGTTCCTAATGCGAGTGCTAAAACTCTGCAGCAATTATTTTGGCTCCCGCTTTGCCGCGGTTCCCGTCGGGAAGCGATGTTTACCGTGAGTGGTTTTGCTGGGCTGGCCGGGGGGACAGCGGAGCGGGAATGACAGATCTCTGTCCTTTCCTAGAAACTCTTTGGCTACGAGATGGCGGAGTTTAAAGTCACCATCAAATTTCTGTGGAATTCGGAGACGGGAGACTTCCAGAAGCTTGTGGGAGACACGGCAGAGGAGGAGGAAGAGGAGGACGACGACGATGACGACAGCAATGAGGACTAGCAGCAGTCCTTGCGCTTGGACTCTAGACGGTTCTACTCTGTTTTAGAGACGCAAGGAGGAGGATGTTTCCCTTCCCTGCTTACACCCAGAGGAGAAGGGCGATCAGCTCAAACATGCTCTTCATAAAAAATGACCTAATTATGCTTTTTTTAATATAAATCTTTATATAAAACTCCAGACGGTTGTCACTGCTGCCTGTTTGAGTACCCCGGGATCTGAGGAAATGCCACCTCAGACACAAAAGCTAGGCAGAAAGCGTCGTGCAGCTTCGACATGGCGCGCCCGACACGGGGGAAGGTGCCGAGGGTCTGCTCTTATCTCCTGATAAAAGCTTCAGAAGCAGCAATTTAGCTCAGAGTCACCGAGCGCCGATAAGGAGGTGCCAGCCAGGGTATCGGTGCAGTTAAGAGATAGGGTCTGCGTTAGAAAAAGGTTTTATTCTTGTATATAATTATTTAAGATCACATTAAAGCAGAACTGGGGCCTTCATCCAGTTATGTGTCTGTTTTCCCCGATTAACTGCATCTTTAAATCATAGTGTGAGCTGAAGGTCCCTCAGGGGAGAAAGGATAAGGCATGGCCCGGCACGACAAGTGCTGACAGTGGTAGTGAATCCTACAAAGCTTTGTTAACACAGGGAAAAAACGCAACCCATTTACAGGTCGATCAGAGGGTGGGTAAGTACCTCTCCCGCGCTTCCAGAGATTTGCGCTCCGTTATCCACCCCCACAACACCCTTCCAGAGATTTGCGCTCCGTTATCCACCCCCACGACACCCGCTTTCCTGTCCCTACCCTCGGCTCTAGCGGAAATAGTTGGGGCAGTCGTGTGCAGTCAGGTTCCAGGCTTTATCGAAGGCCTCCACGACGGCTGGGAGCAGGGGACCCTCTTCGCTGTAGTCAAGGTTCTGCTCTAGCTGCTCCAAGTTGGACATCCCAATGATCACTGCGTCTCCAAGAGAACCCTGGAAAGCGGGAAGAGGAGTTGCTGATCCCAAAAAAAACCCAGTTCACCTCCCAAGCCACTGCAGGCCAAACTTTAAACGTTTCTTTCCAGTAAAGAACATCCAGAAACTCCTGGATGTTGAGACGACTGCCAGCACGAAGTTCTGTTCGCAAGGCCAGAACATCGCCGAGTCGTGCCAACTCCTCAAAAGCTGCCCAATCCTACTTCATGGGGGACGAGGGGAACGTTTTGGGGAGATGGGGAACATAACCCTTTATTTCCTAGGCTGATGAAAAGCGGAGTTGTCTCCTCGCAGGGAAGCTGTCTGGGTGGGAAGCCAAGACCCCAGTAACCGGCACCTAAACCCTTCCATTTCTGCCAACGCTATGAACACAGGATGCCGCGGGGAAACGCAGAGCCGCCTCGCTCCCACAGCCTGGCAGGCAGAGCCCGTACAGCAACCTTCGCTTTGGAATGCCGCAAGCCCACGGGACGTGCAGATGAAAAGATAACTGTTTGTACGGAGACATTTCCCCGTTTGCACGCCGTAACAGCTGCCCAATTCTGGTGGTGCTGCACAGGCTACAGCCGTGTCGTACTCTTACCTGCAGTTTGGAGTGGTTGTACAACCAACGCAAAGCAGCGGAGGTCAGGTTTGGTGCACTGGAACCGTAAGCATCTTTCAGAGCTCTTTCTACTAAGGCAATTCCTTCAAAATTGTGCTTTTTCCAGTACCTGCAGGAAAAGAAATTGCTCTTATTGCCCTTGGGACCTCTAGTGAATGGTAAATCTATATTCCAAGCAAGAACAAAAGGCTTTCAGGAAGCCTCGTACAACTCTTCAGAGCCTCCGAGGACTTGTGCCATCCCCCACTGCAGGCCGGGAGGAAGCTGAGCCTAAAAACCACTCTGCAAAGCTCAGTCACAAGCCACGGCCCCAACCACATGTGCAGACGTAATCGCTGCACAAGCTTGCATCAATTCTGCTTCCTCTCAGCTGATTATTAGTGTGGATTTTTTACGTAGCCACTCCTGCCGCATCTCCCTGCTCGTCTATCGGCTCAAAACGTACCTGTCCCTGTAGGCTTGAGCCCAGTCATTCCCAAAAAACCTTCCAGTGGGCTGACGTGTGTCCTTATCTTCATACTTGTACTTGCCGGTCAGCAGCCCTCCTGCAAAGGGTCAGCAGCGCGTTTAGTGACAGGCTGGCTCTTCTACAGCCCCCGCTTCGCATGGTTTTGTCTCAAAGTCTCACCCTTTCCCTCCCCGTACCTGCCAGCGGATTGTAGGCGTAGAACCGCAGTCCGTAGTGTCTCAGGCAAGGGAACAGCTCGGCTTCCACCTGGCGAGTGGTTGCGTTGTACATACCCTGCACAAAGAGGAGGGAGGCAAAGAACTTTGAACGCCAGCTCACGGCAGTGGTCGCGAGCACCTGAACAGCCTTTTCACCCCCCCTCCCTGACAATACTCGTACCCAGAAGAGCAGCTTCAGGTCACACGAGGTTATGAGCTGCTTAGGAACAGACTTTCTAAAGGATTGCAAGTAACGCAAAAACTTTTAAGTTCCACATCAAGGGAGCTGCTGACTCGAGCAACAAACGCATACTCAGCTTTTTCTGAGAAGTGATCTCAGTCAGCTCAATCACGCGTGTCCTGAAAGGACTTCCCAGACCAACGGGAGCACTTTCCTTTCCTGTGTATATCTGGCACACTGGGGACTGGTCCAAGATTTGGGGCTCCCAGACCCTTCCCCACAGTGACCATTGCTGTAAGGACACCGACAACCAGCCGTACGCCGTTCTGATCTGAACCCTCCTGTTCTTTTGGTTTGATTCATCTCAGCCTCCACAAAAGATCTGCCGGACCACGGCAAGCCCCGGTCCCTCACCTGGTACACCGTCGGCATCACCCAGTTGTTGTATTTGCAGATGGTGCAGATTTCTGCGACCTCCCATGCTGCGTAGTTTGACAGACCAAGTTCTTTAAACTTTCCCTGCAAAGGAATAAAAGGGTATTCAATTCCAGATTTTAAAAGGGCATTTGCACCTAGACGGTGCAAGACGCAGACGGTGAAAAGGACAGTTGCCAAATTTTATTCCGGAATTCTTTCCTCATCCCTGTTCACCCCTTTTAGATGACTATGAATTACCAGACCTGATAAAAATATTTCCGATTTTCTGTTCATTTTAAATTCACACCTTCTAATTTAAATGGCACTATTAGATTAATGCATTTCAGGAATTCTTCTCCACCCATTACCAGGACTAATCTTAACCCAGTCAGTTGACACGGCTGAAAGCAAAGTTCAGGTGGTCTAACGCTTCCAAGAGCTTTTGAGAACAAAGTGCACCATGTGCACATGTAACAGAGCGTCAGGGATTGCCCTGGTTGTCTGCGTCCTCTCGTCCCAGCGTTGCACAAACCCCGTGCTGCAGAAGGGCACAACAAGCAGCCCTGGATTAAAAAGGTGATGGGAGGGAATCAAGAGATGGTCCAGGCTTGGACTCCCCACTTTACTTCTCTGTGCAGCTCATTGCAGGCACGCAGCGTCTCCTCCACCGGGGTCCCGTGGTCAGGAGCGTGGAGATAGAAGAGCTCCACACTCGTCCTCTTCAGCCTCTCCAGGGATGTGTCCAGCTGCGATCGCACGCTCTCGGGCTTCAGCGTCTTCCCATCCCAGGGATTGGCCTTGGTGGCAACTTCCACTGGCAGAGAAAAAGAAAGAATGAGCAGGGATGTTTCCACCTTCAGGAAGGGAATGGGGATAAGGGGCATAACGCAAGCATTGCTCAAGGTGTTTCAGGGAAGGCCCTTCTCCTTGGGAACCGTGTCTGCCTAGCAGGGGAGGCCCTTCTCCTTAGGGACTGCAGGTCTGCCCTAGAGAGGGAGGCCCTTCTCCTCAAGGCCCAGGGGTCAGCATTAGCAGGGGAGTCCTTTCTCCTCAGCAATGGTGTCAGCCTGGCAGAGCAGACCCTTCTCCTCAGAGAACGGGCCCAGGGGAATGCCCTTCCCCTCAGGGATAGTGTCAGCCTGGCAGGGAAGACCCTTCTCCTCAGGGAACAGACATGGGGGAATGCCCTTCTCCTCAGGAATGGTGTCAGCCTGGCAGGGAAGACCCTTCTCCACAGGGAATGAGCTCAGGGGAAGGCCCTTCCCCTCAGGGAAGGTGTCAGCCTGGCAGGGAAGACCCTTCTCCTCAGGGAATGGGCCCAGGGGAAGGCCCTTCTCCTCAGGGACGGTGTCAGGCTGGCAGAGCAGACCCTTCTGCTCAGGGAACAGGCATGGGGGAATGCCCTTCGCCTCAGGGAAGGTGTCAGCCTGGCAGGGAAGACCCTTCTCCTCAGGGAATGGGCCCGGGGGAATGCCCTTCTCCACAGGGATGACCCCTCTCCTCAGAGCCTGCCCCCCACCCAGCCCCACTGCGACCGGTCCCGGCCATACCGGGCTCCGCGCCTCCAGCCAGCAGCGTGCCCAGGATACGCTCGGACTCTCCACCGGCGTACATATAAGCGGTGTCGAGGAGACGATACCCTCGCCGGAGGAAAGCGCGGAGGAGCGCGGCGCTCGCCTCGGGCCCGGCGCGCCGCCCCACCTCCATAGCGCCCAGCACCACCCCGGGCCG